TATATATATATATATATATATATATATATATATATACATATGTATGTTTTTGTAGTGAATATTTAAGTACATCAACGTTTGCACAGCAATTAGATATATTGGGGTGTTACCAATAAAGTAAAATTTTTGTGTACTGCAGAATGTTTTAAATGCATCATGTTTTATTCATGTCTGAGTTCATTTTTAAAGCTTTAATCTGTTTCTCTCCCAGGTGAGAAATACGAGCAGGCTATTGAGTGTGCTAAAACATACCTGCTCTTCCACCCTGAGGATGCGGTCATGGCTCAGAACCTGGCGTACTACTCAGCTGTGCTGGGAGACGAAAAAGCCGTCAACATTACAGCCAGAGAGGTGCTGTCCGCATGTGCCACTGATGCACAAGCACGCTTTTGATCTACAGCACATTTATTTGTAATATCAGTTAATAAAAACATTCTTAATTTATTTTCAGTGGAAACACATGGTGCTTTTTTTCTTGTTGCAGGTTGTTAAGCAGCACATTAAGAGGTCTTTGCTGGAAAAAGAGCTTCTTTACTTTGGCTATGAGATGTTTGGTAAAACTTTTGTTGATCCAGTAAGTGTATTAACATGTGCTCAGTGCTATATGATTCCCATATTTATTTATGTTCAATTATAAGTTATAATAAAATCTTTATCTCATTCTGTCTCAGGACACATGGACCCCTGAGGATATCATACCCAAGAAACTAAGAGACAAACAAAAGTAAGTATACCTTTGTTGTTGCATCTAATATATTAACACGAAAGTTGACCTGATGTTGGTTTCCTCTATGCACGCAGGGCGGACAAAGAAACAGCCGCGAGGATTACAGAGGAGATCAGTAACCTGATGAAAGAGATCGAGACACTTGTAGTAGAGAAAAGTAAAGAATCATCAGACCTGGACAAGATGGTGAAAGACGGTAAGACTTCAAATAAAATTCAACGTATGTGAAGGGATAAGCAAGTTACATGACCTAGTCCTGCAACTGGTGCTTTTTCAGATATCAATCCAGGCCCTCCTCCAGAAACTGCCGACAAACTCCCGTTTGACAACATTACGGAAACCCTGACATCCTCAGCCCTGAATGGTTCACAGCGGGTCGTCCTGGATGACGTAATCACGTCCGACGAGTGTCAGGAGCTTCATCGCCTCTCCACTGTACGTTTCACATTTTCCTTCTGCTTCCCAGAAGAGTAGACAAAAAGGTATTTTTGTATTTTCTGCAGTCAACTAAATATTTCTCTTTTCTATTACCTAAATCTCGCAGGCAGCAGCTATTCAAGATGCTTTTAAAGCAACACCCTCCCCTCATTCGGCGAGTGAGATGTTTCAGGATATTATGGTTCTCAAAGCTCTGCAGGTGAGACCTACTTTACTAAAGGGTTTAAAAAAAATCCTCTTGAAATCAATGAAATCCCACACCTAATATTTGCACCATGTTCTAGCCAGTTAAAGGAACATGCAACACTTTGTCACTTGTTTAGTTTCTATTTGTGTTGAGCTTGGTAGATGAACTACTGTTTAAAATCCTCTTATGCTCAACAAGTCTGCATTTATTTAATAAAAAATACAGTAAAAACAGTAATATTGTTACATTAATATAAAATAAAAGTTTTCTGCATTCTGTGATGCAAAGCTGCATTTTCAGCATCATTACTCCAGTCTTCAGTGTCACATGATTCTTCAGAAATCATTCTAATATGCTGATTTGCTGCTCAAGAAACAATTCTGATTATTATCAATGTTGAAAACAGATGTGCTGCTTCATTTTTTTTTAGGATTCTTGAATCCTGAATAGAAAGTACAAAAGAACAGCATTTATTTGAAATAGAAATGTGTTGTAACATTATACAGTAAATCTCTTTACTGTCACTTTAAATCAATTGAACGTGCCCCTGATGAATAGAAGTATTAATTACCTAAAAAAATCTTACTGACCAAAACTTTTGAACAGTAACAGTTAAAGATTCGTTATCCATGAAGCACCTTAAGATTCAAGGAATATTTCTATTCTACAAAAAAATTATTAATAAATTACTAGAACTTATAAAGCTAAAATTTAAATGAAAACTGAAATCAAATCAAATTAAATAAAAATATTGAATAAAAAACAAACAAAATTAGAATTGTGGCCTTTGCAACAAACTGAAAAAGTACAAAAATGACTAAAACGAAATGAATAATATTAAAACTAATAAAAATGACAAAGGCAGATAACAAAATTACTAAAACTCAAAACTAAGATTTAAATAAAAACTGAAAATATAAAAATAAAAGCCAATTCCAAGTATTTAAAAAAATACTATAATAGTATATAAATAACACTAATATAACACAGATCGGTTTTCTCTTAAGTTGTAGTTGTTAAAGGTTCCCTCTTTGTCTAACCGTGTTGCATTTGGTTGTGTCCACAGGAGCGTTTACAGGCTGAAGAACTTCTGAAAAAGCTTTCCAGCCCACTTGAAGCTGATGTCCAGAAAACAGGAATGGACAGTGTAGCGAAACCCTCTGAACCTGAAGGAACCGTTTCTGCTAAAACAATCGAAAAAGACACAGTAAAGGCAAGCACATCTGCAGAACAACCTACCAAAGCTACAGAGGATAACAAAACTGACAGCAAAGTGGTGAAGAAAAGTGAAAAACCAAAGACAAAAACAGCAAAAAAGCCAGCAAAAAAAGAAACCCAAACAAAAGCTAAAGCAGAGAAAACAAAGAGCAAAGAGTCAGACAAAACAAAAAGCACAACAGCAGAGAAAAAGAAATCAAAAACAGCTAACAAGACAAAACCTGTAACATCAGACAAAACGAAGAAAACAGGCAAAACAACTGTTCAAAATACTGCAGATGACAAGAAAACAAAGCCAAAGACCACAGAACCTAAAGCCTCTACAGCTGAAAAACACAATGATGAGTTATGAGTTATGAGTTTTATTCTTTTTTTAAAATTGGTGATGGAGGAGTGCTGATGGATCTGTGTTTTTGTACATTTTTTTTAAAGACTCATGAATTTGAAGCCGTATCACAGGAGATTGCAGACTTGACAATCAAGTTGACTGTTGTATTTTCTCTTTTGCCTAAATTGTAACTATTTCTATTCTTGTCTCAGGAACTGAAATACAGTTGTAACATTTTGTGCTGCTTGAAAGACTATGGCAGCTTTCAGAGATTACATTTGCCACTTTGCATTCCCACAATAACTGAATAAAAGCGACATGTTTTTAAATTATAACAATGCTGTACATTTTTATTGAGTCATGCAAAACTCACAGACATGATGCCGAGATGTTGTGGGATGTGGCCATGATGTTCAAAAGATTCATTATATGGCTCATTTCCCTCTTAAATGTAATTCATTGAATTTTTTCCCCACCAATTTCATCATCTCCCTTACGAAAAAGAAGTTTATTCAAGTGTGCTATTAGTATACTTCTTTTAAACTAAAACATAGGAAAGTATACTTTTAGTCTACTTTTTATGTACTTCTCAGAAATGGGCTTTATGTACTTCTCAGAAATATACTTAAAATGACATTTAAGTGTACTTGACTTATACTTAGAAAAAGTCTAAATATATTTGAGCTACTGTATACTTGTGCTCCTAGAATCTGTGTTTTCATTGTTATAATGTAGGGGGCGCTAGTACAAATCTTCTGTACAGAATTTCCAAAAAACACAAGTGAAGAAGAAACCGAAACAACAGATGC